ATAATAGTTAAAAATTATTATTAACGATGTTGTCATTTGGTGAATTTTGTTTAATTTCATTCTTGTGATGGAGTATAATTTTTTTGTTTTTTTTTCTCGTGAATGTGTATTCCGGTTTTTTAAATAATTTTTTTAATTTCTTAATTGAAGTTTATGTTCTTCGAAAAATAAATTACGCGCGTGCCCATCAAAGTTAATATAATATTTAACTACGTGAAAAAAAAAATACGGTTCATAAATAAAATATAATATCGAATAAATTATAATTATGTATATTGTATGCATATGTATGGGAGAGTGATGCAGTACAAAAATACGCGAATATATTATATTTTAATTTTTAAGTACGATTTTTTTTTTTTTTTTTTAATGGCGTTGATTACCTTTTAGTTTAAAATATTTATTTTTATACGAGATAACGGAAAATTTAATATGTTCAGTGATGCAATAATATATATAATATGCTTTTGAATGGCAGAGTACTCAATAAAACATACCTAATTTTTTTTTTCCCATAAATTCTAAGTATATAACAAAGAAGCTGTTACTTATACTTATTTTTCTTATGGAATATTAATAAGGACTATTGTTCCTATTTCCTATTATTCCTTGTTTGTTTTAAGGAAACCAGTCCTCCAAGAAAATACTCCTTTATGGTTCCTGGAACATAATGCTTTTTTTTTATAGTGTAGAATTGTTTAGCCATACGCCCAACCCTCAACCTGGAGGACCAGATATCCTCTAAACATTTACGATTAAGGAGTGACTATTGCAATGTATTGTTAGTGTACTGGATGATGAGAGCGCCACTTTTCCTACGTTAATTTTTATACTTTGCTAAATAATTGTGTTTATTTCACATTTTTAGTTAGTAAAAATTAATTTTTACGTATTATTTGTATAATAATACCAAATATTAAATTAAAATTGTTCTCACCTTTTGTCCAACGAAATCGTCAATAATATAAGCTGATTTAGTCCAATATCAATACTTTTTCCTGTATATAAAGTAACATAAAATATTCATGTCCATGTCTCATATTATAATTATTATTATCTATCTCAAATAGTCTTTTTTAAGTATAAACTCACCAAATGATCGTTCATAGCTTACTATAGTTATAGTTAAGATCAAAAAAATCGATGAGGTTATCACCGTATTTGCGGATATTCATCCAATGAAGAATATGTAAATAATAGTAAATTTAAATGTAAATTGGGTAAAAAGTAAAACGTTTGGGATTAAAATCTTTGATTCGTAAATTTGATCGTAAATTTCAAAAATATCATATTTAGGTAAACTACCTAAATTACTCGGTATTTACTGAGTTCAGTATACTAAAAAACAGAAAACAACAAAAAACATTTAATTTAATAATCTATCATAATGATAGATATATCTTAGTTTCGGGGGGAGGCTGATTTAATATCAATAGAGATAATAGGATACAATTTTTTAAGTTAATGGTATTAGTTTATAATGTTGACAACAATCCTAACGGGGGGGGGGGTGATTTACCGCTCCCCTTTAATATCCATTGATGTATATAATCGTTTTTCATCCATCTCACCACGGTAATCCAAAAATCAACCAAAATTTAATTTTAAATAAAATAATGAATATTACTGATTGCTAATAACGATTTCCATCGCAAAATTTGTAAAGTAATCTGATATCGCCCAGGTATCCCAGATAATATTTATCATAAACACACACATAAGTGCCTTCTCGATAATGCTAATTTCTATGAAATTATGAATTAATGAGATTAAATGTCCCGTCCAACATTATTATTATTTAATATAGTACATTATTTGTGATCGATTTAACGTACGAGTACTACAATATTTTCTTTTTTGAAATACTTGCGCCCTTGGTACGCGACTGAAGTCTGTGCACCTCTCGCTCTTACTCCTGTGCTACTACCCTGTCATCCGTCATATAGTCTAAAATAAACAAAATCAAGTTAATTTCGAATGTCATAACATTATAACTGTAAATTATATTTTTTGAAAGTGTTCATTTTTAAAATCATTTATTTACACACACTGTAGAATTTAATAATATAATTGTTTAAAGTAAAAACGCGTACATGTGTATAGATTGAAGTGTTTTCAATCAGCAGTATTTGAAAAAAAAAACTTTCCTATAAAATACTGTTGTCTAAAACACAAAACTATTTGTCAGTGTATTGAAAAAAAAAATTCATCATCTTGAGATATTATTATCATTATTATACTTATTAAAAATAAGGTATTAACTATAATGTACATTTTTTTTTTTTATGTTATAATACTTATTATTACTGATTACTAAAAAAAAAAAAAACCACGATTAATAATAATAAAGATTATAATATTTAATTATTTATTTATGTTTAAGTGTACATCGACTACATCTGTTATATTCGAAGTTCTTTCAGTGCGTTCGTGATGTATAAATAAGTTGCCTTCTTGTTTTTCTACACTTATATTTTCGCTTGTCCAAATTTCGTAGATATGTATCGAATTTTTTTCGATTTTTATACGGTAATATTTTGAAGAAAAAAAATTATGAATGTGTATAGTGTAATATACTTTAGTAGATTTAGACCTGAAAGCCAGACAAACTGAAGAAATTTAATTTTTTCCGATTTTGATATGTTGGATGCGGATTATATTAATATTTAGATTCTATTTGTTGGAAAATAAAAATGAAATTATTTTATTGTAAATCGTAAAAAACAATGTATTGTTTTTATGAAAACTTTTTCAAAATGTGTTTTAAGAATTTTGCCTTTTACTTATGATAAAGATAATTACAATTTGAAAAAACTAATTCTAGTATTGAATTGTATTACGTTTATGAAATTGAAATTCGTCCAACGCAATTTCTATATAGTCTGGCTTTTAAGTCTATAACGTCTTATAATTCGTCCATAAAAATGGCGTTACCATTCCCAATGAGTATAATGAGTAGATTAGTGAAAAAATCTTATTATTAAGGTAGTCATTAAAATGTTTAAAAAAAAAAAAAAAAAAAAAAAATGTTCAAATTTTACAAAATATGGATTTCTTTAAAGAAAAAAAGAAAATTAATGTTTATAAATTTAATATTTTTTAAATTATTATATACCTACACTGCTATGGACGAAACAAATATTGTCGACTTATATTGTATATACTCGGTCGACTATTGTACACGAACAAATATTGCAATGAAAACGAAACAACTGTTTACATATGTTATTTGATACACCTATATTATCGTGTAGTAGTTATAATATTATAACGACGAGTGCAGTTGAATATTTGTTTTGAGTATGTAATAAAATGTAAAATAAGTTTTTTTCAGGTGCTATTTTTTTTTTATAAAATTACTCGTGTACATTTAAAATAAAAATAAAAATAATAATAATAGGTTAACACCCACCATTATAATAATGTAAATACGTATGAGCGGTCAAGGTGAGAGGAACCACATCAGTCATCACTGTCCCATTTTTTAATCATAATTTGTGGATGATATTATATTATATTATTCTTGTATTAATAGTCCAGTAAAAAAAAAAAAAAAATCATAGGCGTAATTAGAGTGAAATTTCGGAAGTGCTAAAACTCTATACACGTGTATACAACCGTATGGTTTCCTTATCCCCATTTATTAACCGCATTCAAATTTCAACAAAAATTATCTTATAGACATATTTGTAAAATATTCGTTATTGTTGTTCAAGAAGTGCCGCCTATCTCACATTTTGATGAAATTTAGTTGGCGACATTTTTTTTTTTTGTAAAATTATATCACGATTAACCGTTGTATGTTTAGATATGTGATGAACTCTGCAACACAAACATTTATAAACGAATGGCCATAATAACACGATATGACATATCTAAAAATTTTAATAAAACACCATCTATCTGTATGTATCCACAATGTTTAAACAAAATTGTAGGTTGTGAGATATGTCATGTGGTTTCAATGTGGTTTTTTGATCTCTAGTAAAGTCGAGAAAAATGAGATACATGAGTTGCTTATTAATCGATGATATTTAAAATAATACATTATCAACAGATTTTATAAAGATTAAACATTACCTTATGGCTTATATTATGAAAATGCTGGGAGTTTTAACTAATTACTTCCTTTTTTTGTTGCCAATTATGCACATACCATAGGTTAAACATTATTTTTATCCGACAAATGAGACGTTAACAATTTTGAAAATTTCGCTTTTTAAAATACAAACCAATCTTTTCGATGATCCACCCTTTGTAGATTTGACTTTAAGAACAATACAATCTATGCACAGTAGATGACTTTAAAATAATATTAACTGTGTATTTAATACCTATATATTGAATTAATATTTTATACAATAATACACGTTATAATTGAAATATGATTAAAAATTAAATATCTGAACCTAACCTAACCGATATATTCATATATTATCGTAAAACACTAAAACCGTAATTAATGTAACATTCAAAAGAATACAATATTATATTGATGTATTTAAATTTGGTGTCAGTTTATTTTTTGTTTAAAAAAAAAAACAAAAAAAACTGTTGTAAATCTCTATAGAATGTTTCAGTTAAAGTATATGCCACATGTTTTTAGTTAGACATGAAAAAAACGGGAGCATTTTTACTAACCGAAAATATATTTCCCAAGATATACACATATTACGTAGTAAAACCTTAAAACTTTTTTTTGGTATGCTAGGAATCTAAACACAACGGACAAAAAAAAAAAAAAAATTAAACAGTATCAAGACTATATTATTTATTTACAGACAGTGAGCCCAATATAATTCACAGAAATATGTATTTAGATTAGATTAACTAAGTGGGTGTTACACTTACCTAACTTTACAAGTAATAATTTTTAAATTTAGTTGAGTTTGCTTAAATAACTTTAGTAATACAATAAGGTACTGATAATAACAATATACAAATACGTGATATAAGACATTTAAATAATTAGGTATATAATAACAATATTAACAACGTTATTAATATATATTAAACAAGTGAGGATGCTCATTGCCAAGGTGCATCATCCTATCAATTTGCTGGTTTCTGTCATAATTACTATTATGAGCTGCAATAGCGAAGGAAGCAGATAACCTAGTGGGACGGGAAGGTACTTTAAAACTAACTTGAGAGAGTATGGAAGGAGTGTCAATACATCCATCAATCAATTTGCGTAAAAAGAGCAAGTTAGCTTCAACTCTTCCATCAGCTAAAGAGACAAGACCGAGTTTGTGCATTACTGGTTGGTAGTCATGGGGAGAATGATTAATTTGCAGAATCAACGCAGCTGAGTTTAAAAATTTTCTCTGGACACATTAAATAAGAGAAGAATCCACAGCCGTACAGCGGTCCCATATAGTACTGAGGCATACTCTAGAAGGGATCTGACATGGGAACAGTACATCAGTACATCGCAGAATAAAGCACAGGCATATTTCAACAATTATTATTACAAAACGTTGTCTGATATAAATTAATTTATGGTTTCGACGTCTTCACGGCGATGATCCTTTTATACATAAAATAATAATTTTATTATTATTATTATTTTTATACTAAACCAATAAAAACAGTAATATGCATTTTATATAAGCGTGTCGGCACGATTACAGTGTGATTTTTAAATTCAATTTTTAGGTTTTTAATCTTTTTTTTTTAAATTCGTAATCCACCTGACAATATAATAATAATAATATGATACGTACCTACACCGTACACGTATACAGTTGAAAACCCCTTTATAGGTATGAAAAAAAAAAAATTATAATTTTATTAATCAATAAAAATACCGAATATAAGTCGCATTACGTTGGCCTTTAATCTATATTATTAACTATTAACCATATTATGCGTTTCGTCATATGCGCGCACTATTCATAAAACAATAATAATTATAAATTGATATACCTACACGATACTATCGTCGTCATTGCCGTCATCATCATCAGAGGATATTAAAAAGTTAATACTATATTATTATTATTATATATATATATATATATGTATGGTATTGCAGCTCAATATCGATAAGTAGGTACCTATAGGTTATATAGATATCCCATAGATTACATATAATAATAATAATAATAATAATATTATTATTAAATAGTAATAATCATTGTATAATTTATATATATATATATATATATGCGGTTTAATAATTATATTTTACTCACATCAATTCAAACTTTCTAGAAACACCGAACGCACTCGAGTAGTTTTTTTAAATTTTTATTTCACATTTTTTTTTTATTTAATAACATGCAGTAATAGTTATACTTCTACGATAATCATCAAGGACAATATAATATTTTAATTTTACAACTGTATTGCAAAATATTTACATTACATATTATATTATAATATCTGTATACTATTTAAATATAATATAGCTATTGTTTTACATCTATAATAATTAGTAATTATAAAATGCAATACTTTGTTCAGAAAAAAAATTAAAGAATATGATTTTTATGGTATAATAATGTATAATATCTACACTGCCAAGGACAGCCGCTGGCTACAACTATAATATTAGACTCGGTTAGGTTATTTTTTTTGGCGATAAAAAAAAATATTTTAGCGCACGTTTTAACAACATAACAACAATAATAATAATAATATTATTTTTATGACCAATGAGGGAGTATACACTACAATATCGGCTATTACTTACCAGTTATATCAAAAGTAATAATATAATATTATATAGCATTTATCGGCGGTGAAAAAAAAGAATGTTCGATCTGTGAACCGCTGCGCAAGATGACAACGATGGTCACAATTGAGGGAAGCTGAAGACCTGGAGGTAAAAGTGGACGGATACGCTTAAGACTGATCATGAAAACTGTGCGTGAGAAACCTGGATGTAGAATATAGGGGAATTTCCCCCTTTGACAAATAGTGAATAGCGTACACGTTTTGTTGTATACATATTGAATTAACGTGTTTTAGGTGCAGATAAATTGTTTATAAATTAAATTTAAAATTTAATGTTTTACTAAAATATTATTTTCATTTCACTTAACTTTTTAATGTCAAGGACCAAGCAAATCCATTCGTCAAGTCAAAAGAACCATTGACACGTCTTGATAGCGATAATGTGGTTTTATTTTTTTGACAATTTATACAAGTTATGTACAGTGTAAAACCTGTCCAAAACGGAAATTATTAAAACGTTTCGCGAAATTAAATTGCACACGCTGCGCTGTATTTAAAATTCAGTAAAACGAAAACCTGTGACAAACAGACATTTTCATCGGTCCCTCGCAAGAATTTCGCTTTTAGAAGTGGTTTTTGCATTTTAACTCAAATGAACTAATATTTATGATATTTTAATAGGTACAGCCGTTGATAAAAAAAATAAAATAAAAACATTTAAGAACCTTAAGTATAGGCACAAATATGGAACTACAAAGACTTACCCCTCCTCTTAAAACACAGTCATAGCTTTCTCCCAATCAACCATGCATTATAAGTTTAGTACACGTAACCAATATTTATTAATATTACGGGGTTTTAAGTTTTGCCAAAATGTTTGGGTTATTTGCCCTTACGCTTAAGGTGTCGTCGGTACATAATATATACGTGAATATTAGATATTCCCAACAAATTACATAATAGCATCGTTATGTAAATTTTCGTATATATCGACAATAATATTATTATACATCTTTTCTCTAGATCTCTTAATGAGATTATCGTGCGCAGTGCGTTGAAAAATATTCTGGTCGCTAGATTTTAGCGCACGTCTATGATACTCATTATTATTATTATTATTTTATTATAAACGAATGTAATCTAATAATCTCAGTAATTTATTTATATCGCCAATAGCGATACGTTGAAATGACTACAGTATATACTTGCGGGTATCGAGTTTTTATTATAATATACAGCGTGATTTTTTTTATCTTGAACCAGAAATTATCTCAGAGGATTTTAAGTGAGTTTGATTTCTGTTTTTTCTAATCATTATGGAATCGTTTAAGCTTTATTTTAAAGCCATTTTTAATTTTTTTTAATTATTCCGTGTACTTTAAATAATTAAATACTTTTCATTTTCAAATAAGAACTCCCTTTTTGAACAAAGATTTGAATAGAATATATTTCTCTAGGAATTTCAATATGTATAACACTATTTACCATTTATAAGTTATAACAGTTTAAAGTTTAGACTGGAGGAGTAGGCAAGAGTTATAGATAGGCTGCTGGTTCATGATAAAAAAAAATCACTCTGTATATATATAATATATATAATTTAGTGATTGCATGTATAGTAAAATTAAAATATTTATTCACACGTCATCGTGAGTATCGAGTACCTATCTATTTATTATTTATTTTTTTTTCAAATTACTCTAAAATATTAATTAAAAACGTATACAGACGCGAATAGTCCAAATATATTGTAGAGAATTAAGGCCCCATAATATTAATTATGTTTACTTAGTATTTCCTTGATAAGGACTAAACGACCTGTTTTAGAAGGAGTTAAGTCCCTCTAGCTGGCCCATCCTGGCGCCTATGACGTAACAACATGAAACCGAAATCATCACCGAACATCGTTGAACATCATTGCTAATCAAGGGGAATGTGTTGGTGCCTATTAATTTACAAGTTCTAGCATAATATAGATGAGTCACACGAACAGCTACATTGTTTTGTTTTTGTATAATACCCGTGAAAATAATGACTTGCTAATTTCAGGTAAAGGAATACACAAAATGTTTGCAAAATATTGGTAGGTATACACTAAAACTGACGTGAAACATATTTTAATTAATTATTTATACAAAATAATGAAGTTAATTAATATAATAATCGTAGTATCTGCATGTATTTGTTAACAACTAACATACATTTGAGAAAAATATAGTTTTTATGACATCGGTACCTGTCGGTTATCGTGACTATCGCAGACTTTCCTTTAATCTTATTGCGACTACTTGTACATCATATTATAGAGAATTATGCTGTATGGTAATAATTATGGTAAAATCCGAATATTCAAATGGAATAGTTGAGCATAATCATCCGACTATGAGTCATACATACAGTTTTGTTGATCCATGTTGATCCTTGACAATGGTACTCTCGCGCATAAATGTAGAACGATTACAGGGATCGGTTAAATGATTGATTAAAAAACAGTTTATTGGTTATTCTATCACAACTATATGGCATACTTAAGATTTCTTTAAAATACAACAATTTATTTATACACCTAGTTACTGAAAATCGAATAAGAAATATATTAAAAACTGCTGTAGTTAAGTACACAAACTATACAATATGATATCCGCATCGGATGATGATTAATTTGCAAAATTGATATTTGAGATATTAAACGCGATTTAAAAATACTTTGCGATTAAGTAAATAAAACAAATATATTTTATATAGTAAATAACGTTTCTCTGTTATTTTTAGATTTGTTATTCTTATGTGACCACCGTTCCGGGAATTACTGTATAAATGAATAATAATATAAACTAGATTATTCCGTGTATTATTGCGTATTTGCAGTATAAACATGTATTTAAAAAAGCACCATGTGTATTGTGCACGGTCATATTTTCTTGTATCCAATGTCAACGATTGCATTTTCGTTTAGAGCTTTTACGCATTTAAGAACCGAATATTCGACGTTCGTATTATATTTTATTGGTAGAACTAGGTTAGGTTAGATTTCAGTGATTGATCGACCGACTTAGAAAAAATTGTCTTGGTACCTCATCACTGGTACAACTGATAGACCAAATGTGATAGATGTCATTGAATCTACCTCACATTAATTTATTCCTGAATATAATAAGAGTGAGTTTTATACAAATAGGTCTTACCTTTACAATTTGTTGCCACTGTTATATACTTTTACAATGTTATTATAATTTTAATTTAGAATATAAAATTACGAAGACTTCGCACGCATAGTTCAGAGGTTCATCGATTATAATAATAATAATCTATTCAAATAATTTCGACATGAGTGACGAATGAACCTACAACAATTTATAATGAAAAAAACGAAGTACAACTGAATACACTTATATTAAATAATATCAAATACCATATGGAGTCGTGGACATTTTCTATTTTAGAAAAGATGTTACACTTGATGACCGAAGCAAGATTTCTGGTAGGTACTTAGAAGAAATGTTAATACAAGCAAATAAAATAAAATAAAAACAAAATCACACTTCATATAGTAAAAATAATACATTCCTCGCCACTCTCAGAGTCTAAAAACAAACGAATGATGGGCAATGGGCATTAGTTTATTGTTCTTCCAAAAATATTTCTT